GATGTGGCCGAAGTCCAAGGTGGTGCAAGTGGACAGAGAGAGGCTGACCGAGGCAAAGTTCAGCAGGGCCAGGACCACCAGAGCCCTTTGCAAGTGCATCTTCATGTGTGAGCTGGGAAGAGAGGCCAGGGGGACGGCGAGGCCTGGAGAGGAAGAGACCCCAGCAGACGTGCAGAAGGAGGGAGGAAAACCAGGCGGCCTCCCCAGATCCCAAAGACTGAGGCTTGGCAAGAAGGTGCATGAACTCACTGCACTGCGAGAGCTTCAGGACTTCCAGGAAGCGCTGGCAACCCTGAGGACGAAGAAGCGGACTGTGTGCCTTGTAGCGCTGGGATTCTTGTCCATGTGTCTAAACAGGTTTTGCTGGGCTCTGACTCCCAGCAGGCCAGGTGGAGGGCAACCAGAGGGCTGGGAGGGGTGGCAAGGCAGCTGGGAGTGGGAAGGGAGCTGGAGTTTTTCCTTAGGTAAAAATAAATAGAGCGGATATCTGATATTGCCAAACGCCGCTTGGCGATGGGGAGAAAGTGGGTATTTTAAAGAAGGAGCAGAAGGACCATGGCTGGGTCCCAAAATCAAAATCCTTGCCTTGCCTTGAAGGAAAATAAGAAAAGAGAATGGAAAAGAAAAGGGGGAAAAAAAAGGTTAAAAAAAAAAAAAATCAGATCACCAGTGAGTAGGTGGGGAGAGGCAGGGCCGCGCAGTTGCTGGCCCAGCTAAAGGTGGGGGCAGTACAGGACACACTTGTCTCTCAGGCACTCCATTCATGCTTTCTCTTTTGTTTACACTTCCTCGGGGGCTTTCTAAATGACTTTGTTCACGCTGCCTCTCGTCTTCATTGGCTGGGGTGTGGGGTTATGTGCATTGGAAGGCAGGGAGGCAGGCCTCTGAGCGCAGCAGCCTCAATCATCCACTCAGACGCCCAGGGTCACCAGCACCTCGGCTTGTCTTCTGCCTCGGCCATTGCTTCTGTCCCCTGCTTCTCTTTAAAAAATAAAAAGGAGAAAAATAAAATAAAATAGAAGCCAGTTCACGGCACGCCTGCTCCGGAAAGCTGTTATTCCTTCTCTCGCACGCCTCTTCCCCTGTCTCTGCCTCTCTCGCTCATTCCCTTGGACTTGACTCTCTGCTTCCCTCCCTTTCTCTCTCTCCCTCTCCCTCTCGCTCCTCTCCCTCTCTCACACACACACATGCACACACACTGCTTTCTCTATTTCTCTCTGCTGAAATTTTATACCTCCCTCCCATGACGTCTCTGGCCTGGGGTGGGGGAGGGAGGGACCAGCGCACGCAGCCTCTTTTGCTGCACGATGTTAATGTTTTAAACAGGCACAGGAAAAGCCGAGCCCATTTGAAAAATACGTTGCGAGTCCTCTCGTTCGACGTGGTAGCTGAACTTTTTTTCCCCTCTTGGAATCACTCCTGCTACACGTTGGCTGTTTTTCTGGAAAGTTACTCCGATGAGCCCCCTCCCTCCATTTCCCCCAGCCCCAGCGCCCTCTCGCCAGCTGTCAGTCCGCGCCGTCCGCGGCCCGCGTCTACTCTCCCTCCTGGTCCCCCGGTCCCGGGGTCGCCCCCGGGCCAGGCCCGACCCGGGGCAGGGTCCGCAAAGGGCGCGGGACCCGGTAGGGGCGGCCGTGCCAGCCTCGCGGAGGGGACTCCCGGCCTGCGAGCCGGGTCGGAGGGTCAGCGTCCGCTCCGCGGCGATCCTGGCCCGATTCTTCATTGACAAGATCGGAGTCGGGAGGCGGGCAGAAGCCTGGAGATGCTCCAGGGGCAGTGAAAAATGGTGGCGTTTTCCGGAAGATCGAGGGTGCCCTCTGGCGAGGCGAGGCCGCCAGTGAAGGAGCTCGGCTCGTCGGGAGCCGGGGAGGCTTGGGGCCTGGGGCTGGGGGGCGGGAGAAGGGGCTGCGGTAGAGAGCGAGAAAAACAAGACCCGGGCCCCGAGGAATCGCCTCCCTCTCGGTCCCACGTGCGCACGAGCGCACCTCTCCCTCCCCAGCCGCTGCTCCGGAGCCGCTCTCGCAGAAATGTCATCCAGATGTTCAGCCTCCCTCCCCGCCGAGGGCTCCGCAGGGAGCTGCGCCAGCGAGCGCGAAGTCAGCAGTTGGCCCGAGCCCATTTCCCAGATGGGTGAGGGGAAGTCGGCTCTCTGCTTTCGCTCCTCTTCTCGGCCCGAACCTCTAGGCCTTTTCCCACGAGCAGCCGAGGGAGGGTAGGGCACGTGGCTCCCCGTAACCCGCAACACAGGGCTTGCATCTAAACTGAACTTTCCTGAGAGTGAGTGCCGCTCCCACCCCATCTCATTCCAGACTTCCTGGACCCTTTCTGAGAGGTCTGACTTCCAGGCCACCAACTGAAGGGGCTGTTCACTGTATCCCAGCACAGCGGTGGGTCACTTTACGGATGAGGATACTGAGCCATGGAGATTTTTTTTTTTCTTTTTAAGCCCACACTGCTTGTGAGTGCTGGAGGCGATGTTTTACACAGGCTATCTAGTTTGGGTAGGCATTATTTTCATTTGCATAACCAATGAGGAAACCTAGGGGTAGAAACTTCCAAAGTAACTTGCCCAAGGTGACATAGTTATTAGGTGACAGCTGTTGAGATTTGGACCCAAGACATTGCCAGAGTCTGTGGACTTAATTACTATGCTATACTGCCTCTGAAATTTGACAAAAAGTTTAATGTTTACTATACACCAGGCACTGTTCTAGTCTCCGTGAAAAATATCAGTGAACAAAACAAAACTCTTGCCCTCATGGAAATTTTATTTTAGAGGCAGGGGTGGGGCAGTGGAGGAGGCAAAAAACTAAATAAATATGTAAATGATGTAGTAAGGTAAAAAGTGCTGGGCCAGGTGCAGTGGCTCACGCCTATATTCCCAGCATTTGGGGAGGCCCATGCGGGAGGATTGCTTGAGCTCAGGAATTCGAGACCAGCCCCAGCAACACTGCGAAACCCAGTCTCTACAAAAAATAGAAAAATTAGCCCTGCATGTTGGCGCAGGCATCTACTCGGGAGGCTGAGGCAGGAGAATCACTTGAGCCAGGGAAGCAGAGTTTGCAGGGGGCCAAGATTGCACCACTGCACTCCAGCCTGGGCGACAGAGCAAGACCGTGTCTCAAACAAACAAACAAACAAACAAACAAACAAACGTGGTATGGCAGAAAATCAAGCAGAGAAGGAGGATGGGGAGTGCCTAGGTTGGGGGATGTTGCAGTTTAAAATAGGGTGATAAGGAAAGGCCTTTGAGCAGACAGTTGCAAGATGGAAAGGAAAATTATTACAGTTATACTTTTTTGGACTCCACCTCTACCAAATCAGAGTCTCCAGAGATGGGGCCCTGGCATCTCTGTTTCTTTACAAACCTCACACGTGATTCAGGTGCTCAGCAAGGTCTGGAAGCCACTACTGCAGGGTACCTCTCTGCCCCGAGTGAGGACCATTTGCCTTCTGTTTTCAGCAAATTGGGGAAGAAGTGGGGGTGAAGGTCTGGAAACTGACTATAAGGTGATGGTGGTATGCTGTGAGCTTATAAGAAATGGAAAAATCCAAAGATTAATCCCTTCTTCCTCATCTGGTGCCAAAGAAGAAGGGAACAAGGGATTCATTGGAGCCTATATTTCATCTATCTTGGATTTTTGGCAATGAATGTTTCTTCAGATTAAAAGCTAACAAAGTATTCTCACTGAGAAGCAAGTTAACAAAGGATCTTAGAGATAATCTCTAAAGTAATTACAAGGGAGGAAACTGATATCCGAAAAGGGCTCTGCTCTGGCTACACAGGTAGTTATCAGCAGAGCTAAGATGAGAACACAGCTCTTCTGACATCCAGACCAGTGCTCCTGCTGTCACAGGCATGCTAACGCGCAGTCCTATCCAGTAACGTGTGATTGAACTGAGTAATTTACTGGGTATTTAAGAAATACTTGCATCTGGTTTTAGGGGTGCTACTGCCACTTCCAAATCTTTACTTTTAAACTGTAGCCATCCAGACGTTCCCCTCAACATAATACTGGGAATGTTGTTTGCTTTCAGGGCCATCAGCCCATCTCCTGTGGATCTCAGCCAACCAGTGCCAGGGACCTGGCCAGTGATATTGACTTGGAGATCTCATATGAAGAGTCAATGAAGATGCAACTTAACTGCCCCATTAGGCTGGGAATTTGTGGTACCTCTCCCTCTGCCAGCCTAGGAGAATGGCTGGCACCCAGTAGTATGTGCTGGAGATAAATACTCCAGTAATGTCTGGTGTCAGGAGGACATCTGGCTCTGCTGCTTGGCACTTAGGTGATTTTCCTCAAGCCCCTTCTTTGTACCTCAGTGTCCTTTATTGTTGTGTTAGAGATACTACTGCTACTTACTTTGTGGGATTTAATGAGATATTGAATGTTTGTACTTTGGAAAGTTATTGCTACTCAGCTATTTGATGTGTTGATTTGGCCTCTCTGTAAACCTCTTGAAGGCAGAGATTATGTATATTGCACTTTCCTTAATTCATGGTAAACCATTGATTACACCTGACTCCCTGTAAGCCTGTTTTCTCATCTGTCAAATGGAAACAATACCACTTACCTTGCTTCCCACACAAGGTTGTTATGCCCCTCACGTTACGCCAATAACTGTGACGGCCTTCTGTACATTGCAAAGAGCTATACAAGTGGGAGGCATCAGTATAATTATTATTAGCAGTAGTAGTGCTTTGCACTTAATATATTGATGTATTTAAACAGAGCTACAAATGCAGACAGTTCCTAAAGACCAAATTATTTTACCGTCTCGCAGGAGCAGCTTTGGTGAGTTTTAATAACCGGAGGTTGCTTCCGGATGTGAAGCAAGGCAGGTTTAAGAAAGATTCGGTAGTTTGGAGGATGGCACACAGAATCCAGGAACGATGCTGCGGACCCTTTAAAAATTGGGATGGAGGGGCGGGGCTGTTAGCAGGGACGCGGCTGGACCACGTCGGTTTCCAGGAAGTGACGTCAGGCGGCCGCGGAGATGGAGGATTTGCTGGACTTGGACGAGGAGCTGCGCTACAGCTTGGCTACCTCCGTGAGGACCAATGCGGGGGCCTTGTGGGCCAGGATTTGGCGGGTGGGGAGGAGCGACCCCGCCGGCCCCAACTTCTCTGAGGCGACTCAGGGCAGCAGGCCTCGAGCCGCGCCTGGCGAGGCCCAGGAGGAGGCAGCCTCACCGCCCCGCCCCCGGGCCACTGTGGGTTCTGCCGCTGCTGGCCTGGGGTTTGCTTTCTTTAAAATCCTCAAAAAGTGGAAAACACCCTGTCCCCGCCGGCCTCTAGGGCCGTGGGAAATTTCCGAGCCTTTCTCCGTTTTTTAGAGCCCCGAGTGCGAACTTCCCCAGAACAGATCGATCACAGGGTGATGGGGGGCCCCCGGCCGGGGTCGCACTCTCTCCCATCCTAGACATTTTCCTTTGGGACACCTCATTCCAGAAGTTCCTGCAAAAGCCTCACTGTTTTATGCATGGAAGGGAGGCAGGCAGGGACGGCCTTCCTTCCCCGTAATCCCCGCGGGGAGGTGGGAGTTACCTCAGTTACCTCAGTAGTTAAGGAAACCAAGATTTGTAACCGATTTGTAACGTGAGGGAGTGATTAGGTGCTCAGGCACTGAGGCCACATGGAGCATAGAGCTGTTGCCTGGGTTCAAAAAACACCTAAAAAACGATTTAACCTTTCCGAGCCTTGGTTTTCTTATGCCTAGAATGGAGGTGTTGCAGTGAGAAGGAAATGGAACAATACATGGGAAGCGTGTAACTCAGTGCTTGGCATATGTTATCACAGAAGAAGTCAGAAGAGGTTAGCTACTGCTGCCTCTGAGGCTGTGGTTTGCCCAGCGTTATAGTCAGTAAGTAATGCAGCTTGATTCAAGACCCAAGTTCAGTGTTTATCTTCCTTCTTTGTAACCCCCATCAGGCCTTTTAATCATTAAAATTGGTTAGGATCGCACTTACTAAAAGATCGGGCCCCAGGGCAAGTCTTTAGTTTCTGCTGTGAAATCTCTAAGTGTTTTGAAGGTCACCAGGCCTTGCTGATACGTGAATGTTTTTTAGTACCTGGGGATGTGAATGTAGTTATTCATTCATTCAACAAATATTTATTGAGCCCCTACTGTGTATCAGGCAGTGTCCTAGGTGTTGGAGATACAGCAATGAATAAAGGAAAGTTCCTGCCCTCATGTGATTATGTTGCAGTGGGTGAAGATGGCCAATAAATAGACTACATTTAACATACACAAAAATCAGGCAGTAAAGAAGTTTTTCTACCCTGTGCATCTATCTATACAGGGTCTTCAAAGAGTTTAAAACCTTGAAATACTTAAAAATTATTACAGAAACCACCTGTGATCAGCATTTAGAGACAAGATCATTGAATTTTTGTTTTAGCACAACCACTATATGGAGGATGCTGTATTCAGATACTCAATGCTATGAAAAATGGAAAAGGGCAACCATGGTGAAGGGATGGAATTGTCTGCCTTGAGAAGAATATAAGCTGCTTATTTTCAGAATGATTGTTTCCATCATCCTTGAAACCTAAATGACACTACAATTTGAAGTGTCAACACTGCCCAAGAGTTTTTACGAGCTCTCCTGTAACCCCTGTCAATTTAGTGGTGCAGTCAGTCCTTAGAACATCTTAAAACAAGTTTCAGCAGGATATAGTGGAAAGCACCCAGGAAACCCAGGATCTGAAATCAGAAGGCTTTGCTCCTAGGTTTATGTCAGTCACTTCATCACCTTCCTAGGCCTCAGTTTCCTCCTTTGTAAAATGACATCGGTCTCAGTTTCTGTCCATTATTGTGAGAATCAAAGGAAGCCACACTAAATGAGATCTAAAAGTGCTTATATTAATGCTGTATTTTTTAAACAAAGTAAAGCAAAAGTATAAATATTTCAGCACCCAAGAGTCTGACTAAATAGTTGTGTTTATGTGCTGGGAAGCCTTGGAGGCACAGAGTCTCCACTGGAGGGCCTTGGGAAACACCTGCAAATGGTTCATCTGATGGCCAGGAATATTGAAGTGCTCTGGTTTCCAAAGATAATGTCTCAAAATTCTTGTACTAGATTTCCTTTAATGTCTGTAAAGGCAAACCCAGTTACTGTATATATCAGAGCAAATGCTAACTGTTTTCCAGTTGCCATGGAATTTAGGAATTCTTTCCAAAAGCCTGTTTGATAATGATTTTCATGACAAGCTGCAGATTTGAAATTAAGCCTTCCTGAAATCCTGCGTAGGAACATGGGAGCCTTTACCACCTTCTTCTCTGACCTGTGGCATGAGGTCTCTGCCCATCCTAGAGGAATTTGTAACTGCATTTCTTTGGGTAGAAAATAGAATTTTCTTTTGCCATCTCTATAGCTGTTAAAAGAAAACCTTATCCAGCCTGGGCAACACAGGGAGACCCCATCTCTACAAAAAATAAAGTAAAATAAAGTATCCAGATGTGGTGGTGTATACCTGTGGTCCCAGCTACTCAGGAGGGCAAGGTAGGAGGATCACTTGAGCCTGGGAGGTGGAGGCTGCAGTGAGCACTCCAGCCTGGGCAACAGAGTGAGAAATTAACCCTAAGTTTCCTATTTTCCTATCAAATAGAACTGACCTAAGGTGCTTGTTTTAAGGGGTTTAGGGGTTTACCTGGGCAAAAACATGCCCAGGTAACTCAAATCCCATTCTCCACTACATCATCATAAATCCAGTCCTTGCTTACCTTCCCAGGATTGTCTTTTGTTTGTTTGTTTGTTTGTTTGTTTGTTTGAGATAGAGTCTTGCTCTGTCACCCAGGCTGGAGTTCAGTGGCACAGTTTTGACTCACTGCAACCTCTGCCTCCCAGGTTCAAGCGATTATCCTGCCTCAGCTTCCCGAGTAGCTGGGACTACAGGCGCATGCCACAATGTCAGTCTAATCTTTTGTGTTTTTAGTAGACATGGGGTTTCACCATGTTAACCAGGCTGGTCTCGATCTCCTGACCTTGTGATCCGCCCGCTTCGGCCTCCCGAAGTGCTGGGATTACAGGCGTGAGCCACCGCGCCCGGCTGGATTGTCATCTCTGTAGTGGCCGAAATGACATTTGGGTCAGCAGTGCCTTCTGTCTCTCCTTACAGAGGGCCAAGGTGGGTCGCCGAGCTCAACGGGAGTCAGCGCAGGCCGAGAATCACCTCAATGGCAAGAATTCCTCTTTGACTCTGACTGGAGAGGTGGGTGCTAAAAAAAAAAAATCTGAAGAAAAGCTGTTTAAGAGTTAGTGATTCCTTAATGACCAAGGATTTGGTATTCCATGTTTCTTCTCTTGAATGCTAACCCTTTCTCCTATCTTGATTTGGGGATTCCCTTCCTTGGCGTTTGTCTTGTAGCAGGAAATGAAAGAAGAACTTTTTTTCCTTGATGCCAGACTAGTTTCTGTGCATTTCCTTATATTCTTAATGTAGAACTTTTTATGTTAGTTGAAGCAAGGGACTGGGAAGTTTCAAAATCCAGTAGGATTCCAGGTTTTTATTTCTGCTGAATAAATGCCAGTGAGGCAGACTGGTGACGTAAGGATGGATTACACAATTAGACATTTGCTCTCGGTGGTGACCTGCACTTTCTACAGTCTTCCTGCAGGAAGCAGATCATTTACTGGCCTTACTTTCCTGGAAACTTTTCTGAGTAGCCTGGAATTATGGGAAATGATCCAGTTTCTTTGTGGAGGGTGGGTAATTCTGATGAGCAATACTTTATACTGCCAGGGCACTACTTTTGGCAGCGTACTCAGAGCCCCTTTTTACCTTCCCCCATTATATGTGAATTGTCTTTTTACATGTCTGTCTTCCTCACTGGACAGTGAGTTCCCAGACAGCAGGAAACCTACCTTCTAGCTTGCTGGCCCGTAGTAGGTTTGCCACAGATGAAGGAACCCATGCTGAGAAGCCTAATGGGTCAGGCAGGTGCGTGAGCAAATGAGCCAGGTACCTGACATGGACATACTTCACTTACATATCACATAGGTAGGAATATTCTTCATTTTCATAGGAAATGCATTCTCCACCACTTTCTTAAGCTCTCCATGTGGCCTTGTCCATTTATCTTTCGTTTTCTCTCTTTAGAAGTGTGGGTATGGAGAATCATTACTTTAAGATAACATCTGTGCTGGCCTAGAAAAACTAGCAGCTCACCCCTTGGCCTCATTGCCTGGAAGACACTAGGGGAGCAGGTTAGGGCAGCAGGACTGGGAACTGGAGGCCACATGCTCCCTCTAAAGGGACAGCCACTACTTAGCCAAAGCTGGTTGATGCTGTAGAGAATATAGGCCCAATATTGACAGATGTGATTCTTTGAGAGATGCTGGCAGTCTAAAATTTTATGTGAAAGCAACAAATTTTTAGAGGTTAGCAACTGATTAAGAAAACCTAATCACCATAGGGACTGGATATTAAATCACCATATGGGCTGGATTTGGTCCAAGGATTGTCAGTGTGTAACTGTGGGCATGGCACCTCTGTTATGATACTTATTACATTGTATTCTAATTGTTTACAAGTCTGGTTCTCTCATAAGATATGAGCATCTGGAAGGCAGAGGTTGTGTCTTATCCTCATATCCTATTATCTGTCACAGTGCCTGGCAGAACAGGCATGCAATTGTTATTGCGCAGGATGAGGTGGAGTCAGGTACATAGTGTGTGATGTACTTACACATTAGAAACTGAGTAGAAGTGTTATGGGGTCTGGGGCGGGGGGCTTGGGAGGTGCGGATAGTGGAGCGTTGGAGGCACAGTTAGGAGAGGTGATATAAAGTAGGAATTTGGTGAAAGAAGATATACCAGACCCAACCCTGGATCTCAGGGAGCTTGAACTGCAGTGGTCTGTGCCTTTAAAGAGAAAATGAGGAAGCAAATGACTGAGCTGATGGAAGCCAGTTCTTGGCCTCTGGCATTTTACACTGTTCCACATGGGTCCAGGAGGATTCATTCCAACACCAGATCATTCATTTATTTACTCAACAACTATTTATTGAAGCACACAGTAAGTGCCAGGCACCATTTCGCAGGGTTGGCATATTTCAGTGAACAAAAGAGACAAGATCTCTTGCCATAACGGAATTTACATTCTCGTGATCATTGGCAACCAGGAAGACTAATTAAAAGTCTACTTAAGGTCAGGCACAGTGGCTGATGCTTGTAACCCCAGCACTTTAGGAAGCCAAGGCAGGAGGATTGTTTGAACCTAGGAGTTCAAGACCAGCCTGGGCAACATAGTGAGACCTTGTCTTTGCAAAAAATTTAAAAATTAGCTGGGTATGGGTGGCATGTGCCTGTAGCCCCAGCTACATGGGGCGCTGAGGCAGAAAAATTGCTTGAACCCAGAAGGCGGAGGTTGCAGTGAGTTGAGATCTTGCCATTGCACTCCAGCCTGGGCAACAATAGTGATGTATATATAAATATACAATTAACAACAAGAGTATGTATATATTTATATATATATATATAAAAATATTAAGAGTGTGTGTGTATGTGTGTGTGTATATATATACACACATATATTTTAAAGTCTACTTAATTGTGAAGGAGGTTATAGCCACCTATGGTAGTTAGGTGAATGAGCCTGTGATGACCTGATTAGGCCTTGAAGCCTTATATGACCCCCATACCAAATCAGCTCCTGGGCTGGGGTCAGTGGGCCCTGCTTGCCTACCATTCACTTCCCCTTGGCTCCCAGGTGAGAATCATTGGTGTGAGAATATAACTCTGTAGTCACAGAGTGTGATGAACCCTTTCAGGGTTTCAGCCATTCAGTAATACCTACTTATTTCGAGGTTTACCCTTTTTTTTTAACTCTGTGTATTAACATTTTTCTGGGAGAACATGATGAAAAGTCATTCTGCTCTTCACCCAACTGTTGCCTCTGAAAGCAAGATGCCAGTTAGGATTCCAGGATCTCTTTCTCCTTGGGCTAACTGAGGTTTAAACAGTGTGGGCAGCCTCCCACGGGGCCAGATGCTCAGTGTGCTGTGTGGGACTTTTTGGCTGTTTCTTTCTAAAGTTAGATCCCAAGACTTGTGTGTATGCCCATTTACATTCCAATTCTATTACTTGATATATTTATTTTTGTCCTCTTGCTGACTATATTCTAGGATGAAGATATCCATGCAAACGTAAATATGGTACCTGGGAGCTGTCAGACATGCTGGAGTTACTTTAGACTTAAGTGGAAATTAGTTCAAACACATGGTTATTTTAAAGTGAGGTAGTGGAGTTGGGAGCTCTGGTGAAGGAAGCAGAAAGAACACAGGGCTTCGCACCAGAGGACTGGGTGCTAATTGCCTGGATTGTGAGTAAGTCCATTAATCTCTCTAATTCTCCATTTCATTATCAGTCAGATAGTGATAGTAATACCACCAGGTTGATATGGGGGCAAGTGAGATATGCTTTGAGAAGCTTTTTAATAAACTGAAAAGCACTGTGCAAGCATTCATTCAATAAATTAGTGAATAAAGATGTATTGGGACAGCGCTTTGCTGCTTTTATTAAAGGGCAGTGAAGAAAGAGCATGTCAGCCAGAGTCTCTTAGAACTGATTGGAAGTCTGTTCACAGGCTACTACTCAATTATCCATAGTTTGGCTAGTAGTTATCCAGAGCAGAGGGTTTTTTTTTTTTTTTTTTTTTGAGGCAGGGTCTTGCTCTGTCTCCCAGGCTGGAATGCAGTGGCATGATCATGGCTCACTGCACCCTTGAACTCCCGGGCTCAAGCGATCCTCCAGTCACAGTCTCCTGAGTAGCTGGGACCACAGGCATGCACCACCAAGCCTGGCTAATTTTTTTTGTAGAGACAAAGTTGTTATGTTGCCCAGGCTGATCTCAAACTCCTGGCCTCAATCGATCCTCCCACCTTGGCCTCCCAATGTGCGGGGATTACAGGTGTGAGCCACTACACCGAGCCTGGAGAAAAGTTTTTTTGCTTTCTAGTTGCAGTAGGCATTTCTTATGTAAGAGCACAGGCCTAGGAGTCATACCAGCCTGGGCCGAAATCCTGGCCCTGTCATACATTAGCTTCTATGATGCTGAGTTAATCTTGGTAAGCCTCATTTTCCTGTTGGTGAAACAGGGATAATAATATTCCATACTTCATAGGATGGCTGGAAAGAAAAAGTGATAAAACCCTTAACTCAGTCTGACACACAAATGCTTAATATGTTGCCAGCCTTTATTATTTCTCTAGAACTTGGGCATTCTTTTTATTCCACCTTCTCTACTGAGGTTGAAAGCTGGTGGCCTTCAGACTGAATCTGGTCTGTAGTCATGTTTTATTTGATCCATACAGGGTTAAGAATTTTAATATTTGGTTCACATTTATCAATTAGGAAATGTAATATGGAAATTCAGATTTGGGGCTTCTCTTTAAAATCAGAAGCCTTGGCACAGTGAGAATGCCAGGTTGACATTCCCACATGGTGGCAATTGGCTGGAGCTGCAGCTGCTGATAGCTGACATGCATCCATCCCTCTACAGTTCACTGCTTAGTACGTTGATACACCTAGTCAGATTTACTCACATTAGATCTACCTGGCTCCCATTTCCATTTGAAGTTAAAACTCCTGTCTTTTAGGATGGATTGATTTTTCAAGTGGCCTCCTCTATCAATCAGTGTTGAATTTCGCTGCCTACAACAGAAACAACTCCAGTACTTGAATCAAACAGGAGCAATTTTTCTTTCACGTAGCAAAGAGTCCAGTGGAGGGCAGAGCAGAGTGGGTGCAGTCACTGGAGCATGTCCTGCATTACTCTAGCTCCTTCCAGCTTCCTGCTGTGCTATCTGGAGCTTGTGACTTTTGTTCTCATGGTTGCAAGATGGCTGGTCATTCTCCTGGAATCAGATATGCATTCTAGGTGGGAAGAGAGGGAATCGTTGAAGAGTTCAAGGTGCATGCCAGTAAGAAGGGTGTACCCCTTCTTATCAGGAAAACAGTAGCCAGAAACCTCACTAAGGAGACCTCTAGTTGCATTTCATTGGTCAGAACTGGATCTTACAGCCACACTCTCAGTTTCAGAGGAGTTTTTCGTGGGCACATTACCATACATAGCATCGGGGTTTCTTGATGAGGGAGGTGAGGAGAATGGCTCTTGAGTAGGCAGTTCAGAAATGACATGTCAATTTAAAACAAATAGAAATTATAGAAAGTCCTCTTTTTTTTTGTAGTCCTGGGTATGAAAAGAAAGAA